ATACTGTTTTAAAAGAGAAAGAATTTGTTCTTAATGAAATCAGTTTTACATAAATCACAAAATACGCAATTTTAAGACAGAGATGCATGTATTGAGCAGCAGTAGACACAAATCACAGATAATTCTTACAACTGTTATTGTAATTAGAAAATCAGTTTAATGACTTACAGTAATGCTTCTCACACCGTATTTTTCTTAAGTTTGTCCTAACAGCAGTACAGATAAATACTTCTGAAGGTTTGGAAAGATTTGTTTGCATGTCTTAAAAAAACAGTGTAAGGAAGTTTACTTCAGTATTCATTTAATTTACAAATGAACTGGAATGATTCAGTTCTTTGGAGATCCCTTTTCTCCTTGTTTCCTATTGCACAATTCATCCCTTGATCCAGAAATAAAAAAATGTAAAATCTTAGAACATAAACAGAAGGATCCTGATCCAGTACTGAATCAACAAAGAAAACAGTGGCATAAAATTCACAATGTCTATCAAGAGACATTTAAGCATGAAATTAATACATCATAATTTCTCTGGAAATGCCATACAATCTTTGCAGTGTATGCAATGACACTTTGTGTGGCTGAAACACTAACACTGCTGGTGCTTTAACTGGCAAGGGGGTCTTTGGAGCAGTCTCGAAGACCAAGGAAGAAACTCAACTCACAGGGCATCTCCACTGTGCTTCCACTGGCTCTCTTGCAAATTAAGCACACAGCCAGGAATAAAAAGAGACTCAAACCTATCTCACATCAGATGATCTGCTGTTTTAGTCATGTCTGCCAAACTCTGTGATAAATGCTACAGAACTTGTCACCTCATAGAAGAGGGTAAGAGCACATGGAGAGGCAGCCATCACATCTGCCATTTTGCAATTTATAGATTTTATAACCTAGCCTAATTAGGAGTAAGCTCTTCACAAGCTCCTTTTGAGTATTCTAGGCAGGAGACTGCTGTCCAAACTAACTTATAAACTAAACCTAATCTCTTTGAGATGAATAAAGAAATAAATGAAAATAGTCACAAGGAAAATAATAATAATAATTTAGAATTCTCAGTAAACAGAAAGATAAATTCATATTTCCTACCTTGTTTTCTGGAAAAAAGGATTGTGTTTTCATCTATCAAAAAAAAAAAAAAAAACAAACTAAGTTTTATTTTCAGCAAAAATAGTATGCAAAAGCACAGACTCCTAAAATTCAAACATTTTCAAAATCATACTGTACAGAACATTACATTTATACTTAGGTATGATGAGGTTTAGCATAAGGAATATTTTCACATCCAGTGATTTAAAGACTTGTTTAAGGAAAACAACCATCCAAACCCCAGAACAACAGGATTTCCCAGAGCACAGCTGTAAGGAACAGCTTGCAGGAAATACTCCATCAACTTCTCAAGCTCCTTTATTATTGTTTCACATTCCAGCCCGAGTTACCTCATAATGCGCTGAACCTAATTCAATTGCTTAGAACACACAACAGTGCACTAACCAGTAGCTCAACCTGCAGCTGTTTTGCACAGCATCTCCAGTCTCTAACCTCTTTTCTTAAAGTATTCCCTTTAGAAAGTTTTAAGAAGTGGATTAAAAGTGGGCACTTGGATGGTAACAGGGAAAAATGAACACCTTGTGTACAACTCTGGCAATCACCTCAGTCTTGCAGGACATACTATCAGTTGGTTAAAAAACTTTTATTGAAGAATTATAATTAGTTTTCAAAAGAAAAGCCTAAATTTTATGCAAGATGGTAAACTGGAAACCAGCACTAAATCAAAATGCTGCAAATCAGACTGCAGTCACAGAGAAGAGGAAATGCAACTTTAAAATCTCCTTCTAAAATCCCTTAAAGGCTGACCCCTCCTTAAATTAGGCTCATGTACATTTCATATGCATTAATTTTCATGCTGTGTAAGCCTTACTCATTTTTATAGGGTCTTTTGGTGATGTTTTCAAATGAAGGAAGTTTTACACAAATTACTTTGAACTCTCTAGGTAAGAGTGTTAAATCTCTACTGTTATAGCTTATCATTAACCAGGCAAATACTGAATGCCTCTAGTATGGGCAAGGCCAGTAGTGAGGCAAAATATCTGACATGAAAAAAATGTGGCTGACTGAAATTTGAGACATCAAAATCTAGCCAAGGCTGTTACTGCAAATATTTGCTGATAACTATTGTGAGGAAAGCTGAAAAGGCATAAAGAAGTTGCTTGGAGATTCGCTTGCAAAGTAAAAATATGTATTTCACATTCTTAGGTTTATTCACACTAGCACTTGATGTGCTGAATGCACAGATTTCGAATAAATGCTAGGGAGCCTTAAGCCACCTAACCCTGCTGAACAGATGGACATTGTTTCTTCCTTTGTATGGAAAATACACAGTAGGAAGTAGTTCATCAGCTGACTCAAGAAGAGAGCCCAGTATTAGGAAGCGAACAGCGCCAGGTCCTTACCCAAGGTGGATTATAAACATCAAAAAGAACCAAAAAACAAAGCACGTCCACGACTTTGGATCTGACACCTTAAAAACGCCTTTCATCTGGCAGTTTCTAATACTGAAAGACTGGTTAAAATTCAGCCTCAGGGCTATAGATCTGCAGTAGAGAAGACACTTGATTTGACACCGTCTATGCCACAGTAAGATCTTACAGCTGCTCCCCATCATGTGGCACCCGGTAGATAGAAAACGATAACTAATGACTTACCTCCTGTTCCATTAACTCCCTGTGCCTCCTAGCCCCTTCGTGCCTCCACAACTTTAGGGAAACCATCGCACTAATTAGATAGAGGATCACCGTGACAAACAAGAAGATGATTGCCGCAGTCTGACCGCCCTCCACACGGCAAAAAGCCGCATTTATCGGCGTCTTAAACAACTGGTAATAGCAGAGCCCACCTCGGTTGGTATCGTTTACGTACACTATGGCAGCCGACATGTACAGGATGAACAAGGCCACATTGATCCCAAACTCGGTCAGAGGCCACCAGTTGGAATCGAGGAGGATAGTTCGGTAGTACATGGACATGCCCAGCACGAGCAGCACTATGGTGACGATCCACGCCATCCCCGCCACCACCAGGATGAAAGGCGTTTTGGGCCCGCTGTAGGAGTATCCCCCGTAGGCGCTGCCCGCCCCGTATCCGTAAGGCTGCGAGTACCCGAACATGTTGTACCACTCGTTGTCCTTGTGTACGTAGGCGGTGACACAGGCGAAGACGGCGGCGCCAAGCAGCAGCTGGGCCACGCCGAGGATCCTGAGCAGCCCTGCCCAGGACTTCATGTAGGCGTACCGCTGGTGGTACTCCTCCACCCGCTCGCTGTAAGTCTGCCCAGTGCCGGAGCGGCGCTCCAGCGAGCCCGAGGGGTCTCCGGAGGACAGCATGGCCTCGGCCTCCTTCCGAGAGTTGTAGCTCCCGCCCGACCCCCCGAATGGGTCCGTGTAGGAGCCAGGCACCGTCCTGGTTCCCGGTTGCAGCGGGGCGGGAGAGGCAGGTGGCGAGCACTCGACCCCGTCCGAGATGTACCTGATGTCGGAGGCCGTGCTATCCCAGCTGGAGCCGGTGTGGCGTCTCCCTTTGAAGAAGTTCTTCCACGAGTCCGGAATGAACCGCCGAACCGGCTTGAGCTCTGCCGGCCCGCTGGGGCCCGGGCTGGCCCCGCCGGGGCCGAAGGGGGGCTGCAGGGGCAGCGGGGGCGGCGGCAGCGCGGCGGCGGCGGACCCGGGGCTAGTCCCGCGGGGCAGCGGGGACCCGCGGGGCAGCGGGGATCCGCCGGGCCGCCCGCCCTGCGAGCTCCGCGACATGGCCGGCGCTCGGCCCGGCCCCGGCCGCTCCCCGGCCCCGCTCGGCTCACCCGACGGGAGGGAACTGCCGCGGGGTCCCAAGGGCAGACGGCGCCGGAGAAGGACGAGCCGGGAGGAGAGCGCCCACTGGCCCGGGAGAAGTCACCCAACACCTCCAGCGCCCCGGCGGCCTCACCTGTGGCGGCCCCACGGCCTTCGCCCGGGGAGGCGGGAGCTTCCGGCCGGCCGGCCGGGAGTGGCGGGACCGCCCCGGCCAGGAGCGGCGGGAGCTTTGCCGAAATCGCGGTGCGCCGGCGGGGCGGGTGCCGCGGGGCGCGGCCGGGCATCGTAGGAGGGCTGGGCGCCTTGACTCACAGCATGACAGAATGGGTCAGGTTGTGTTCCAAACTCTCTGGTCAGGGAGGGTCATTTTGGAGCACAGGACTGCGTCCAGACACTTCTTGAGTATCTCTGGTGAAGGAGACTCCACTAAGGATCTGTTCAACGCGTCGTCACTCGCACAGAAAGAAAGGTATTCTTCATATTCAGGTGGAACTTTGCACCAGTTGCTGCCCGTTGCCTCTCGTCCTATTGCTTGGCACCACTGAGGAGAGCCTGGCTCCATCCTCTTGATATTTTCCATTTAGGTACTTACAAACATTGATGAGGTCCCCTCTCAGTCACCTCTTCTAGAGGCTGAACAGGTGCAATTTCCTCAGCCTTTCCTGGTAAGAGAGATCCCCTGAGCTTCAGTCCCCTCATCATCCTTGTCACCCTCCCCTTAAGGGAAGGCTTCATGTCTGTCCTGCACTGGGCACCCCAGAACTGGACACAGCACTCCAGGTGTGACCCTGCCAGAGCTGAGTAGAGGGGCAGGATCACCTCCCTCGACCTGCTGGCAATGCTCTTCCTAATGCACTGCAGAATCCTGTTGACCCTCTTGGCCACAGGGGCATTGCTGGCTCACGGACAGCTTGTTGTCCAGCAGGACCCCCAGGTCGTTCTCCATAGAGCTGCACTTCAGTCCCAGCCTGGGCTGGTGCTTGGGCAGCACCTGGCACAGAGCTGGCCTAGTGACAGGGAAGGCACTGAGCAGTCTGTTTGGACAAACCAACATTTCTGCCATCGTTTTTCAGGTTCAGGAGCTGGAGAAGAAATCTGGTGTGCTGCACCATTGTCGTCTGCAAATGGCTTTCTACATTCACCACAAAATCTGCAGCTGCATTGATGCAGTAGGAGTTTTATTTACATTGTCAGTATGGGCTATCAACTTGTCTATGGTATGCTTCAGTCTCTTCTTTTACAAGGTTTAAAATTCCAAACAGTGATCGTTTTAAAGGTATAAATTTTAATAAAACCTTCAAATGCTCACTACATAACAATCGTGGACTCTGGAAACAAACTGTACAAATGCAAAGTAAATAAAAATGTGTTAAAAATAAAGAGTTATTCCTTAATTTAGCAAAAAAGAAGGTGTTACTTAAAAAATAAATTCTAAGCTTACCTCCCAAAATACCTTTACAGTAGGATCTTCCTAATACCTTGCATAAAAGAAATTTGACCTAAGAAAAATAATCACCAGTACCATATTGGGTAGATGTCTTTTAGAATTAAAGACACTGGAAAATAATTATTTCATATGCTTAGTTAAGTGGTCCTGTTTATGTTTGTATTATTTTGGATACCAAAGTTGATATATATATTTGAAGTGTTTCTCACATTTGCATAAGATATTTAAAGATTGCCTCCAAATAATAAGAAGCCCCTACGGTCCATAAGCTATGTATTTATCACAGTTATCATTACATGCCTTGAAAAATTAATTAATTCAGGTGGTAAAGCCTTGGTTAAGATATAAAGCCTTTTATTAGGAATAATTAACATAGCTTAGTGACCCCGATGTCTAAACACTGTTTTTTGGATTACATACCATACACACTAATCACCTGGTACTTGCCTCATCATACACATTTTTAAAATGTACTGCAAACTTTGGCTTTGTTTATTATGGCAGGGAAAAGCTTTTAAAGCCTTTAAAAGGATCAGTAAGCAATGAGGATCTAGTTAATAGAGTCTACAGGATTTCCAAAAGGCTTCTCACCAAGTCTCCTGAAGCAGACTTATTTTGAAAGAAACCTTAAACCTTAAAAGAAGGCTTAACCCAAAAATAAGAACTTCAGTCTTAATGTTTGATAAATAATTAACAGATGGGAAGGAAACTGGAGAAGGGAGTATGAGTTAATGGTTAACTCCTGGAATGGAGGAAACTTGCCACTGCAAGTCTGCAGAGATCAGTGCTGGGACCTGGGGTATCCAGTACGTTCCTAAATGTAACCTTGTGAAAAAAAGGGAACCCTGTGAAGACTGAGATGAGCAACTTTGCTGCTGATGCTAAGTTAGACAGGCCAGTAAGGATGTGTTCTGCCAGAAGAATTGTGCCAGGACTTTATAAGACTTGATGGCAAATAACATCACAAATTCAACGTGCACAAACACCTGAAATCCATGCAGTAAAAAAAGAGATGAAGGATTTAAATTACTGCAACATTAGGACCCTGACTTATGTATTTATAAAGCATGACATATGCCTCATTTCTAACAGGACAGATACTTATTTAATTGTATAACATTACTTAAGTTTTACAGATGTTATTGGTGTTGTTTCAAACTGAGTTGACATAGGCAGGCAGCCAGAACAGCTACAAACTTGCAGTTAGAACAAAAACAATAAATTTATTTCTGTTTACCTTGCTAATGAGGGGATCCCCAAAGGAGCGCCAGGCAAAGGCACACAAACAGAGATGGTTCATGCGAGAGGATCACTGGACTGTGGTTCTCAGGGGCTTATCAAGAGTTATTTCGAACTGCAAGGTCACTTGAATGATTTACAATCCTTCTCAACAGTCTTCCAAGCTTTAACCCATTCCTCCCAACACAAACCTAACAGGAGAGCTTCAATCTTGGCTGTGTGGCTGTGTGACTAGAAGCATATTTATTTACCCACCATATCTGTACACAATATGTGGGGTTTTAGTTAGGCAAAACGAGAGGTAGTATTGACATTTTGGGTTACAAAAAAATGTATCAGTATGCCTACTGATAAAAAAACCAAACCCAAAAATCAACGAATGTACAGCTACCTCACAATTAAGTGCAAGAGTTACACTCAGTGAGTGTGCTGACACAGCTTTTTAAGGCAGTAGCTCCATCTAAATATACTTTGGTTGTAAAGAGCAGCTTGAAAAGAGATTTTGGAGCAAGGCTGTTCTCTTGATACTGTAAGGAAGGGACATAACACCAAAACAGGACTGAAAAACCTGCTATACCACAATTAATCTATATACTCTGTGCAAGGAAAAACAGCAAGATGGCTTTACTGATAACTACACATAAGCTGCTGAAGAATGAATCTAGAAAAAATATAAGCATAATATATACAGATCACAAGTATGGTAAATTCCACAATTTCCACCTTCATTGGATATTATAATTTTTATCATTTAATCATAAATTTTGTCATCTGTGCAGACCAACATACTTTTTTTTTTTTTTGCTACACTCTACAAAAGTATTGGTTCAAATGTGAAAAACTGACAAGTGCTTTGGTATCTCATGAACAAGGTATTTTTGATAAGCACTTAAAAACTGTCACATTTACATGACACTTTAATGTGGCTGAAACTGCACAAGCTTAAAATTAATGTCAGGAATATTTTGTGATATTTCTGCATTACTTTTGTCTCCATGAACAAGGAATTGCGACTCTCTCAGAAATACAGAGACTAACTTGGACACAGAGAACAAAATTTGTAAGAGGCCCTGAATTTATTCTTCCATTCAAGGAAAAATACAAATGTACCTCTTCAAGCAACTATTTCCATAACAGTAGCTTTTAGTAAAATATGTGACCAGTTTAACATTGAATGGAAATCTTATCTGCACTACTTACTTATCTAACAGATTTCTGTGTAATATCTCCCTCAAAGCACCAAGCATGTACCTTTTTACTGATAAGGAACCTCTGGGGCTCAGATATAGTCCAAAACCTCATACTTTGGATGTAGTTTAACAGTCATTGAGGTCACTATCACCTGTCACTAAACTAGACATATGAAGCAACATAGCTTGTAAGAAAATAATAGTCTTGTACCCTTCATGAACAGTTAAGAGAAGAATCTAGAAGTTCAGGGTATTAAAAAATGCATATATGAATAAAAAATTACATTCACATTTCTGGGTATCATTCCTACAAAGCACAACAGCAGTACTCAACTACTCAAGTACATTGTCTCTCTGACATCATCTATGTAAAAAAAAATTTGCACAGCTGTGGTGAAGCAATAGGTTGAATATTTTTGTAGACATATGTGATTTTTTTACAGCATCTTAAAGAAAAGAACATACAAACAAACAAAACAGAAATAAACAAATTAGAAAAAATTAGAAAAAAAAATTAGTCCAGGGTTTATGCATAGTAAAAGCAAAAATATCCTATAAAATCTAGGATATGTTTGGATGGATAGGGAGCTGGCATTTGTGACCTGAGAAGTGGTGCAGGAGGAAGGCTATTTTCTTCACAGTGAGAGCTAATGGTGAGGTGCAGGGACAGAAAGTTTTGCTGCCTTAGCCCTGGTGATTAGAGAAAGGTGAGCTCAGATTCCTCCTGACATTGTGGAGCAGAAGGATCAAAGGCAGCTGTGAAAAAAGTTTGCAGCAAAGAAAGTTCCACCCCCTACTGTCAGCTGGTCAGAGAGAAAGAGAGGCAATGTCTATCAAAATTAGAATACAGATGAGAAGGAGCAAGAACAGAGATGTGTAACTGCATGAATAGCAATTTAACACGTGTCTTGAACAAGATTTCTAGCAACTACTGACTCCACTGACCAACACTTTACATTGTTTTCAGTTCCCAGGACATTCTTGATGCCGGAATAAGTACTTAATTGCATAGTCAGTGTTACATAGTTGACATCTAATTAGTTACATTATGCTTTATTAAATTTTTTTCATATCCCCTCATCTCCTTATTTCTCCTTAAATTATTTTGGAATTATACATTGTTGCCTAGACATGGACAGCCAATGGCATCATGGATCCTGATTTAGTGGAGTGCAGATAGCATTGCAGTATAATAAGTTTAAAACTCTTATGAACCACAGTTTTTAAATGTTAAAAACTCACACTGTGGCCCCCTACAGGGAGCAGGCAAGAAGTAAATTTACAGAACCTGAGGGTATAAAATGTTGTATTTTTAATAGTAGGAAAGTGGAAAACATTATATAGAAGTAGAAAGTGAGACAGGGCAGCAAAGAGAGGTGGAAGAACATTCCAGGCCAGAAAGGAGTTCACACATATTTCTCTCTGACAACAGACATAAAGGAGGTGAGAGAAAAGGAGACAGGAAAAAACAGCAGAAGTAATCACATGCATATACACAAATAAGTGAAGCAGTAGCTTAGGGGCTGCAGGACTGTTTCATAATCTTTGAGAAATACCAAACACAACCACACCGCTGTGTAAATTCTGTACAAAAAGGAAATTTTGCTTTTACGCAAGGCAACAACTGTGGTGACTTTTTACCTGGCTTGCTGTGTGTGACAACACATGAACCTACGGCAATTAGTTATCCAGTTTTATTACATACATGTAGTAGATCTTTATTGAAGCATGTGCTATTTAGCTAATAGATGTAGACAGCTGCAATCCAAGTTACCACAAACTTTTAATACTGTTTTTGTACTGTTACACTACTAGAACCTGACATTTTTTTCTCATTAAGAAGGAATCAAAGCCTTCTAACTTTTGCAGTAAATTATTTTCCCTTGAACATGGAAACCACAGATGAAAGAATCTTTGCCACCTTGCATCTCCTACTTTTCTAAAATATCAACTATGCTTTCCTTGTTCCAGATACTGCTGTCACTTTATGTCCAAGAGGTGAGGTCTCTTTCCTCTTTGACTAAAATTGATTTTCCAATGAGAAAGCAAACCAAGAATTTTCTTTGATATTTCTTTGATATTGATACTTGAAAAATAACATGATTCATTTTTTAAGCTCTCCTTATTTCATTGCTACTGATAATGTTTTAAATTGGAAAATAAGAAAAAAAAAGAAATAAAATGAACAGAAAAGGTTTTATAAATAGAAGAACCAAAAGAATTTTTTTTTTTATTAGGAAGGCAACCCAGTCACCTAAACTAGCAATCTCCATTCAACTTTTGTGCCTTAAGCCAAATATAGGGTGTGGAGTATTTTTTGAAAAATGAATAACTGATCTAAAAGAGAACCTGGCATTCTTGGTTACTAATTCTAGTTCTGATGAATGTACAGCTTGCTTTTATTTTAAATTTCTTCTTTATAAATAAAGCAGAAATGCAAATATACATAAATCATCCTTCAGTTGCATTTGCTTCAATTATTAATTTCTCCTGTATTTGCATGGCTTGTATAATGTTCTTACTGAAATATAAGAAGGCAAAGAAAATCTTTCATTTAGGTTATTTTTCTAAGAACTCTTCTTTCAATGATATAAACTACAAGAAATAAAATCCTTCTTTAAATTAATACTCAGATTTTAAACCTGCAGTTGGAAGTAGTGGAAGGCTAAAGAAAATAAAGAAAGCTCCTTATTGAACTAAGGGAACTTAACAGTTATGTATTTATCTGCCTCTTACCCCGTGATTACCATGGATCCATTTTATCCATTAATACTGCCAAAAGGAATGTATTGCTTGTGTTACACACACAGAAATGCAGAACAAAAATTACCAGTGTAAAAAGCAATATTGTATTCTGATAGTGCTCAGGAGATCAGCATCAAGGTGAGGTCTCCCCAAAATTTACAAAATATCACTGAGTAAAAATCTGTTATCTAAGTGAAACACCTGAACAACTGAGCAGTTTTTATTTGACACAATCATCCCTTCTCATTAGTCTCCATTAAATAAAATGCAAGACAACCGTGTTCAGTACAATATGATTTGAGTATTAATTCTGACATATCATGTGCAGAGGTTGTAAAACTGTTACCTTTGTTTTTCTGAAGCTCTCTTTGTAAATCTGTTTTTTATAGTTCAAGATAGTTTATCTTAAATTTAAGGTTACCTTAGGACTATTTAGTTTTTCTACACTATATATGAGCTCTTTAAGAGAGCTACAATGAACTTCTCTTGGATATGCCCATCCATCTACCCATGTAATGCCATGAACTGCAGAATGCCAAAATGTTTTTAATGAGAGGTATTTGTCATCTTTTACCAAGGCACACAAAACAATACAAACGTAGAACGTAGAAACGTTACCACCAGAATAATTTTTTTTCATGTTTACAAGGTAAACCTAGAAACACAACTCTCTCCCCTCTGACACACAGCCAATATATCCCAGCTCTTCAATTTACCAGGAGGCCACTTCAAAGCAAAATAAATAATTTCAGAAGTGCCATACAAAAAGTCAATGTGCTATTTCATAAATACTGCAAGTGTGGAGGTAACAACCTAGGTAATTATACAGAACATAACAGTGAAAATATCTCCCCTAAATAAAGGTTACGTCATAATAGCTTTGGTCTGTAAAGTCATAGTGCTAAGAAAACTATCAAGAATACAGGGCGTTGCATTCAATTACATCAATGTTTACATAATAGATATCTAATATTGGATTTTTGCTAACTAATTTTGAGGTTTTATATTACAGACATAACCCTCTACATATCATTATCAAAAAATATTATTCATGCTCCGATGAATATATCAAAAATGTTTTGCACTGCTGTCTTTACTGAGTTTCAACAGGGAACAGAATACCTTAATAGCAGAACTGGTCAAAATGACATTTAACTTTCACAAGAATCATATGCCTTTATCTGTCATAGACTAAAATGGGAAATTATTTATTGCATCATCTGAAAAACCTTGCAAATCACATCTAGAGAGCCTCTTGCATGAACATAACTCTGTTCTTAATTCTGCAAGGAATATAAAACATTCAAAGTAACAGAAAAAGGTAGGAGAGGGCTGTAGCCCTTCTGGAAGATAGGAGTGACATTTGCTTTCTCCAGTTTTTGGGCAGTCCCCACAGTTGCTGCCATTGGTCAAAGGTTGCTGAGAGGGGCCTCACAGTCACATCTGCCAACTTCCTCAACACCAGTATTTCATGGATGCATCCCATCAGGGCCCATGGACTTAATTATTTCTAGTTTGCTGAGGTGTCCCCTGACCTAGTCCTCTTGCACCAATGCCAAATCCATTCTAACCACAACCATGCTGTGATTCTGCATTCTCTGCGTTCTCTACAGACAGCCTCTGGCTCTTTGAGTCATAAGAGCACTACATTCAGAGAAGTAAGCAGATCAGGATTGTGTAGTAAAGAAAAAGGCAAAAGGAGATAAAGAAGCAGAGACAGCAATCAATATTATAGAAGAGGCAGTAAGCATAGTAAATATTGGAAAGGTTCTGCTTTTTGTAAGATTGTTGAAAAGAACTGTTAGTTGCTCTGCAGAGGAGGGTTCAGGCTGCCTGTCACAGTTTATAGCAATCTATTGAACAGAATAAAATCTTTTACTGAATGGAGAGGTCTGTAGAGCCAGAGGGGACACCACAGCAGATGCTACTGCTCTGAAAAAAGCAGCAGATCAAGAAACTGATAAAGTAGCAGATCACTGGGCCACTTCTGGAGAAAACAGTAGGATAAAAAGTGAAAAATCTGCTGCATAAAGGAAGTACAAAACTTGCTATGGACAGTTTTAGGAGCTTGCAAGTCTAGTGAGAGAAAATGACCTTGACAAAACTATCATAAACCAGTGACTGTTAAACAGATGAATACAGCCTTTCAGGGTATCTAGCATGCAGTGAGACACAGTGTAACAAAAGAAAAAAAGGATGAGAAGTCCAAGTGTGGACACAGTCTGTGAAGGAAAAGTGATGGACACAATGAGTCCTCCTAATAAGAAAAAGCAAAAGAAGAAACACTGAAACCTTATCAGTCTACAGCTTCCTCATTAGGGGAAGAGGAGGGGCAGGCACTGATCTCTTCTTTCTGGTAATCAGTGACAGAACCAAGGAAATGGCATGAAGTTGTATCACGGGAGGTTTATGCTGGATTTCAGGAGAAGTTTCTACACCCAGAGGGTGGCTGGGGACTGGAACAGGTTCCCAGGGAAGTGGTTAAGGCACCAAGCCTGAGTTCAAGGAGTGTTTGGACAATTCTCTCAGTAGCTGGCAGGCAGGTTTGGAGCCTCTGCTGGAGAATATTTCATTATTGCATGGCAGTACACATGAAGAACAACTCTGGGTAATCAGGAACACTCAGCTACACAGAGGAAGAAAAGATGGGATGGATGAATTCTGATACAGTCACTGCAAAATGGCATTATGCTCATCATGTAAAGCAGAGTGAGGAAGGAAGACTGGGAGGACATGCAGAGTTGTCGTGTTTGTCTTACCTGTGGGATCTCAGCACATCACTGTGGATGTGCAGAGACACCAGGGGAGCCCCTGGGGGGCTCGGAAACCCTGGAATGATGCCAAAAGGGTTTGGTGGTTGGATTTCGATCCATCAAAGGGAGAAGAACCTGTGACGGAGGAAATGAGAACTTCTTGGGTGTGAACGATACCTTTATGGAGGGAAATATAAATTTTAGAAAAATAGGTACAGGGGGGTCATGAAGGCAAGATGGAGGATTCAGGGCGTGGTCCTGTGTTCCTCTTTCTTCTTCATGTCTTCCATTTTGTGTGGTAATGTTGGCACTTGGAGATTGGTTCGTAGTGAAAGTGCACTTGTCTATAAGGATGAATAGTATTGGGAAATAAAGGTAAATATGTCACACGTAATTTTTACTATAAAAGACACAACCGCCCTGTGGGCGGGAGAGAGTGCACTCGACTGTCCTGCTGAGCGGACCTCGGCTGGGCAAAGAGAAAACTTTGTAGATAAGAGATAATAAACAGAACTGAAGACCGAAAATCTAAGAGTCCAGGCTCATCCTTCGCAATCGCGGCCGCCCAGAACCACCTTTCCCCGTGTCGGGGCAGAGACACAAAACAGCGGACCCCGACACTTTTCAAAGAACAAGTAGCTTACATTCACTTCTGAAGGTCTTCAAACTCCAGTAAAAATATTGAAAGAGAAGTAAAAAGTACTAATCTACATTCCAGTCTCATTATGAAATCTCCTAATATCTTTTGGTCCACTCTCTGCAATACTATATACATAACAAAATCTCTCATGTATGCACAGTGTGATTTTAGCTGGTTCTTAATAAAACAAACCCTGAGCTGATAACACGGGAAATAAAAGAAAGATGCATTAAAAATATTAAGCCAATCACCAACTGGCATAAATTACCATCACTGAATTCCTTCTGCTGGAAATCACTGAAGTCCCCCTTTTCAACCTGCTGTATTTTCTGATCCCATCATAATACAATGCCAGTCAGTTATCATTTACACTGAATAGTGTTTTCTACAATCAAAAATCCTAAGTCCTGCAATTAAAATATCAACTGGAATCTTGAAAACAGCTCATTATTTTAATGACCAAACAGCATGAATATACTGCAGCATGAATTGTTGTCACTTATTTTTCATAGAATACCAAATACTACTTTCAAATGTCAATATAAAGTTTGCAGAATACAACATATTTGTCTTACCAAAAGAAAGATAAATTTTCACAGAAAATTCAATTCAAGATAGGGAAAATTCCACATATAACCTTTTTTCTCAGCAACAGATAAAATCAGAAACCAATAAAATCTGCTGAAGAACATAAAGAAGAGATGCCTTAGGCAAATATTAGAGAAAACATACAGGTAAGTAAAATGAAGACCATCCACATATTGTTGCCTGCCTCTCTTAATTTTTCCTTTTAGGTGGAATTCATGAAATCTGCTACCTATGAAAACTTGTCACTTTTCAATACAAAAAACACTCTTTGAGCTGAGGAGCAGTGGATGTTCTTGCTGAGCATACCAAAAGGGTGCTAGGTTTTCGATGAATTACTGTCAGAACCCAGGACATCTCTCTGGATGCCCTGGCTGGGGTTCGGAGACCCTGGCAGGAAGCCAAAGACACCTGGAAATTCGATCTCAACCCATGGAGCAAATTACCAACTTTATATGAAGAATTACAGGTCACAAAAGTTTAAGTAGCATAGTAGTAGCAATCACAGGGTGAAGGGAAAAATTTTGGAACATTGTACAGGGGGGGTTTTGAACCTTGTACAGGCAGGTTTGGAATTCTGTACATGGGGGTCAGGGGTTCCAAGATGGAGGTGGCGCAGGACCCGGAAGTCGAGCCGCGACGATCCGCTCGAATCGCGGAGCGAGGTAGGGCACAGGCGGGGCGAGGGCTGCACACACGGGCGGAGGGTGTGAATACAGCGTCAGAGGAGGAGGAGGGAGAGTCGGGAAGAGACATCAGGGGGGAGACATCAGGCGTAGAGCGGAAGGGAGACAGTGGTGGAAGCTCAGGGGACACGGGAAGCATCCCAGAAAGCACGCATGCGCGAAAGTCGCGGGCGAAACGCAGTCAGGGACGTACCCGGACCCCTGTGACATCCCGAGCGAGGAGGGGGCGTTCTCGGAGCTCCACATCCCGAGGCTCCACCCCTTCTCCAGCCTCAGGGAGACGTTCATGTATTCAACCTTCATTGCTAGTTCAGTCGAAACTCACACAATCGCAGTCCCAACATTCAAAACTGCTGCACTCAGTCGACACGGCTGAGGAGCCGATCGAGTTCGTGACGTCACCTAGGCGGTCCGAGCAAGTGACAGCGCCACCTCATGGTAGGAGGGCTGAAGTGCAAGACATGCCGGAACAGGTCGGCAAAGCCACAGCGCCACCTTGTGGTGAAACTGCAACAATGCAGCGGTAGCCACCTCATGGTAGGAGGGCTGAAATACAGGACATGCCAGAGCAGGTCGGCAAAGCCACAGCGCCACCTCGTAGTGAAACTGCAACAATTCAGCAGTTTTTTCCAACAAAATATAAAAGGAAAATCACATCAGGAAAGACGAAGACAACGAGACAAGAGAATTATCCACAGACATAGAGATTTGAAGATTCATCACAGAAGAGACAGCCAGAAGAAGAAGAAGAAGAAGGAGAAGTGATAAAGATCACAGCACCAGAAGGGGTTCCAGCATGGATGTTTACAGCAGCAGAAGCAAGAATGGGATATACTCCATCATATGAGATGATGAAAAAGTTGCAATCACAAGAATTCCAAATTCCATATTCAAAGTTAGGAGCGAGATCAAAGACATCAAGTCAAAGAATGTATGGCAAAGAATCATTGAAGACTTCGAAGATTCCATTGTACGAGCAATTCCCACAAAAGTCTCTAGAAAAGGAAGAAGAAGAGCGACCAATAGAGACAACAGATTGGGATCACATCAGAAAAATGCTGTACAAAGGAAAGGTTTTTCCACTAGGATCAGAAGATCTGACAATGCCAGTGACGTATGATGCACAGGGTCAGAATCCAAGGTGGGAGAGATTGGATCATGACATAGTCAAAGATTTAGTAAAGGCAGCTCAAAACAATGGACTGGGTTCACCATATTTCAAACAACTTCTGAAAGGGACATTCAATAGTTATGATCTTACGCCTTTTAACATCCGAAACCTTGTGACGATGATTTTGACAGACACACAGAATTTAATCTGGGAGAGAAGATGGAGAAGATATCTCGCAGAGTTGAGGAACGGTTATTGAGGTGGTCCGAACGCAGACCTCACGGAAGCACAATTGGTGGGAGATCCTCCAGACGACAATCCAGCAGAGCAAGCAGCAAGACTTCCAAGGCGTGTGCTGAGAGACATCAAAGACGCAGCACAAAGAGCGATCTTGCAGATTGCTCCAGCGGGAGTTCCAGATGTGCCATTCTCGACAATCAGACAAGGTCCCACAGAACCATTCTCATCATTCATAGATCGGCTTTCACAAGCTGTGGATCGGCAGGTGACTGTTGAGGGCGCAAAACAACCTCTCATGGAAAGTTTAGCATTCGGCAATGCCAACCCGGATTGTCAACGAGTCATCACCGCAATGCCAGGTCGGCCATCCTTAGCAAAGATGGTGGAAGCATGCAGCAAGGTGGGAACACCTCAGCAAGTTGCGTCGATTGTAAGAGACGAGCTAAGAAGAGAATAGGAAGAACAGTTGAAGGAACATTCAGGGAAACACTTGGAAGAGAAGATAAGAGAGGAAATGAACAAAGAACTTCGAAAGCGAGATGAGTTGATAGATAAAGTCCTTATAGCCACACAAAAGAAGAACAATCCATTAGGAGGGCAGTGCTACAAGTGCGGAGCATTTGGGCACATCAGGAAAAATTGTCCGCAAACACAGACGCAGACAACAGTGCAGACACCAAAACCACAAAAGCCAATTTGTGCATGATGTGGAAGAGGCAGGCACTCTGTGAAAGAATGTTACTCTCAGACAGATGTGGAAGAGAATCCTTTGCCACTTCCAGAAAACGAGAGAAGGAGCGCGCAGATAGATCGCCAGCGCGCAACGACACAAGTGATGGCGGCAACACAAGAGCAGACAAAACAATCATCGGGGAACAGCATGCAGATACCATCAGCAAGGTCCTCAGCAGAATTCCTAGCGACCCAGACATCCTTCCACCAGGAGCACAGTGCACACTGGCAGCTTCCAAAATAATATGTTTTTTGGATGAGAGTCATGCAGAGATACCGACAGGTGTCCATGGAAACTCATACAAGAAACAAGATTTTTTGATAGTCGGACAAGACAAATGCAGTATCCTAGGTCTCATTGTTTATCCAACTGTAGTCTTGGCAGACAAGAACACGGAACTTACAGTTTTGGCAAAGGCTCTTCGTCCACCGTTGATCGTGGCGGAAAATACTCAAATTGCGAGAGCTTTCGCATTGGCACCACATGCCATGGAGCAGGTCATGTCAATTTTTGATGAAGAAAGATATCCTTTAAAGAAGCATATTAAAGTACATACTACTTAAATCAAACACATAGGCCGGGATCGACCAACGTTGACATGCCAATTGACATGCGGGGACAGAACAATAGCAGTCAGAGGAATGTTAAACACAGGAGCAGATGTTACGGTGATATCGTACATCTTTTGGCCATGTGACTGGAACTTGATTGTACCATTGGGATCTCTCTCAGGTATAGGGGGAGCTTCTCTGTGTTTGCAGAGTGAAAATTCCATCGTTGTTACAAGACCAGAAAACAAGACGGCGATCATTCGTCCTTTTGTTGTGCAAAAGCCCATCACAGTCTGGAGAAGGGATCTTTTGGCTCAATAGGGAACGAAGATCGAAATAGATTTTTAGTCGGGGTCACTGCAACACTCACCACGCTGAAATTAACTTGGAAGACGGATGTTCCAGTTTGGGTGGATCAGTAGCCCCTGGAGCAAGAGAAATTGAGTGCGTTAAAAAACCTGGTTCAGATTCAATTGGAAAAAGGACACATTAAGCCAACAAACAGTCCTTAGAATTC